TCCCACAGGTTGTGGAGACTCTCAGGAGTCCAACCGTGAGCGTGGGTCTCGGGGTGCCAGATAGCTGCATAGAGCTCAAGAAGGATGAACCGCCCCCATTGAGTGCAGTCATGGGCAATACCAACACCATATGCACCGAAGTGGAACTGAGACGCTTAATCGAGGATGTCTCAAGAGGAGCTGTTGAAGGAGATACTTGAATAGGAAGAGCCAACAGAAGAGGGCATGTCCACAGCCTGTGATGGCATTGACGTAGAGAGGGGCTTCCGGCAGTCTGTGCGACCTGTCAACAAGAGTTGTGATATTATGTCCGTCAGCGCGGTGATAACCTCAAGAAGCTGCACATGGCGTTGTACATAAAAAAGGGCCAGAGACCCCAGTTCATGCCACGGACGTAACTGACAATTGAGCCGTCGGAGATGACAGGGTTGAATAGTGCCTCACTCCGCCGCAAGCTTAGACGTGAGAGGGTCCTGGTTCATCCAAAGGAGGATAGGTTCAGTGTAGAACCTGAGAGGTAGTTTCGTGGCGCGTGACGGATATGAAGTGTATTACATGATTATGAAGCAAGGAACGAAGGCGATAGTGCCGACAATACGTGCACGATTGAAGTAGATGAGGCCGAGATGAGGATTCCCAGCACCAACTGCCTGACTGACCAGAGTGTCTAGAACCTATGGGCACAGTGTCCGCTGTGAGGAATATAAGACGCTCCACTGAGTATTGAACCAGGGTCGGCTCGTGGAGAAACACACAGTCCACCATCCGGTTACTTACAGACATGAGTCCAACTCCAATACTAAATCCGAACACGTTCTGGATAACTGATCCGAGACCAATCGCGCCAAGCATATGGGAATCATTGGTGGCCGATACAAAGAAGATGGTAATAACGAATATAGAGTACCTGTGATGAATAACTCCATACCATTCCTTCCACGAATCACAAATGAAGGCCCTTAATCCTACATGACGAGGAAGCTGATCATGTTAGGAATGGCCAGCTGCATTATCTGTACAAATGGCGACTTCTTATTCGCCTTCTCAAGGCGACTTTCACCAGACGCGGTCATTGGAACAACTTCAATCGTCAAACTAAGGCCAAACATATCTCGAGGTTCCCCACATGAGATACGAAGTAGGTCAGGTTATACTCCCCACTCTACCATTCATCTTCATATGCATCACACCCTACATTGCCTTTAATCCTGATACTAACCGTCGTGTGGAATGCTCCTTACCTGCTCAATTACAACGTAGACCAATATACCGATAAGCACGGCGTCTGGGTGCTACGGAACAGGTTCAGGACCTGTGGCCCGTTCAGTAGGCTAGGTTGATAGCGTTCCCAAGAACACTCTCTTGAGCCCGTTCTTAGTCCCGCTAAATAAACACGTCGTGAGAAATTTCCTAGGCTTGAACTCCAGGAAAGTTTAATAGTAACCTTTCTCGATCGAATACC